TGCACAGACATTGATGAGAAAAGATTGCAGAATGCCGCAAGATAGACATGGCGGACAAAATCCACAAGCTACAAGTTTTTATCATCATGAAAAAATCCTACAGACCTTGTAGGGTTTGCGTATTGAGATATCTTGTGTATTACAAGTGATAACCGGAAGGAAAAAATTCCGCAGGCTATGCAAAGTCAAGCATCTCTGAGATATATCGCAGGAACACATATAAAAGTTCCCTGCATGGTGTGCCTAGAGAAGAATCCTGCAGGATCCTGCAGAAAAGAAACTTGAAAAGTGAGCGTATTAAAGAATCCTGCTCAATTATATTCACCAACTTGCAGGAAAATTTTCGGTGAGGTAACGTGATGTAAAATTTTACAGTATATATCCAACATTCATAGGATTTTTTCAGATTCCTGCGTGTCAACGCAGGAATTCGTAAATTCTTTTTCAGTAGGTAGTGCTTCACCTCCTCTATCCGATATTTGGTTGCCTCAAAAATCGAGTTGAGTGAGAGTATTATTTCCTTTCAGTGCTTGTGCTTCACCTCCTCTAGCGGACATTTGGTTGCTGCTAAGATCAAGTTGAGTGAGAGTGTTGTTTACTTCCAGTGCTTCTTCTAGAGCTTCACCTCCTCTATGAGATATTTGGTTCTATCCAAGATGAAGTTCAGTAAGAGTGTTGCTTATTTTCACTGCTTCTGCTAGTGCTTCAACTGTTCTCTCGGATATTCGGTTGCTTCCAAGATGAAGTTGAGTGAGTGTGTTGTTTATTTTCAACTCGTTTGCAACGAAGGCAGTGACTAGTTCAAAAGCGTTTCGGGCCCTCGTGTCGCTGGAATCGCACATACGGAGCGTTAGTGACGATAATTGGGTCATACAGGTCAACTGTCACCAGCACTTTGATCACTTGTTCTGGTTTGATGGCGAGCAACGAGAGGAAGCGAAGATTCGCCAATGTGTTCTCGGAAGAGTGGATGAGTAACAAATCAAAGCAATGGGAAGTTTCTTTAGAGAGATGCAGAGAACGACCTTGTGTTGTTGATGGAAAATGTTAGCAGATAAATTCACATTTGGATTTGCTGATGCGTTCAAGGTTCAGATCAAACTGTAGATTGCCGAGTAGTCCATCAAAGCGATCATTTAGTCGAAGGAATGAATGGAGAATATCATAAGCGTGCAAATGCGCCAGAATGTCAAGAATCACTTCGTTTGGAAGCGATTGAAATTGAGTCACATCTAAATAAATGCGCATTGTCAAGAGTTCGCATTCTTGGTCTTTCTTATATGAAGAGAGCCTCTGAAGAATAAAGGAGAGAAAATGGCAGGATGCATACTCATTCTCGAATATGACTAGTAGTGTTATATTCAGTGATTGTTCTTTCGAGTATTAGGCACGGCTTTATCGTGTCTGTGTAATATAGATGGATGGATAGCCAGCCATTAGCATTTTACTATGCGCATGACCTTGGATGTCATCTTTCTTTCTCCATTATTCTCAACATATTGCAATCATTAGGTACGTGTATGCCACAATGAATGTTGTTGAAGAAGACATGATCAACTTACCATTCTGTGTTTGCTTGAGACATTCAGCGTTGCCACAAGTGGTGAGCATACGGTCTGAAAAATCATGCTGCATCTCTGTTTAGGATATGAAATTGCGTTTGTGTTCATTCTGCTGTCACCCAGGTCAATGAATCCTATGTAGGATCCTACAAATGATAGGATATCATAGGATTCCTATAGGAATCTTATGAATTTCCTATACAAATCCTATTATAAGATCTTATATGAATCTTACCATAGGATCGCAACGAAAATCCTACTGGGATTCTTACTGTAGGATTCCTATAAAATTCTATGAAATCCTATGATAAGATTTCATAGGATTCTTATTATTCTCTCTTCTGTCGTCTTTTCTATTCACCGTTTTGTTTGTCAGAGAAACAATTATAAATACGACACTGAAAACAATTAAAAGTCGAGTTGAATAAGCTCAATTTTTCGCATTGAACAGTGTGAACATCAACATGGAAGCTCACTCATTGCTCTTGGGTTCATCCCAGCCCTGATTCAGAGACGGGGAAAGAACCCAAAAGAGAAAAAGTAAATAAATAAAGCTAGCAGTAAATAAACAGCTGATTTAAGACTGAATATTTTGGTTTCAAATATGTCAGGATTCCTATGAAATCCTACATAAGATCCTATAAGACCTTGCGTAGGATCTGATTGGATCCTACGACAAGAAAATGTAGGATAAATCCAAGACAAAGAAGTCTTGCGTCTTTCCTACAAGATCCTATGTGGATTTGGTAGGATCCTACGTAGGATCTTGTAGGATTGTTTGACGTGGGCAGTTGTGATCAGAGGACTGAATAGACACGATCTTCTTGCCTAGATCATTTAAGTGTCATGACGACATCATACATTTCTCTTTTTCTTTTCTGCTATACATTCGATTTATTTTGGATGGTTTTGTATTTCAATGCTAAATATTGGAAAGCAAAAAATACTCTATGCTCTGTACTGAAATTTGCTTGTCAGCATTAGCTGAGTGACTGAGGGTAATAAACGTACGTGCATATATAAATTTAGATTGTGTTTACTTTCCAATCAAGCTATTAGGTCATACTACCGTATTGGATGCCACGTCTGAATAGTAAAAGTGATATACATATTATTCGTTTTGTACTAGTGCAGGTATTAATCAATGAATTCCATACTAGCGACAGAACAGATATTCTAAATATATCGCTGTGTACAAAGTGTCCTCTTTCGAATAGACTGCTTTGTGAACATTCCATTATAAATATTACAGCGTAAGTTTTTAAAGTTTTCCAAGAGATTTCTGAAAACCGTGTAAGAATTTTCAAGTTCAAATCCACATTGTCTGGCTTAAAAAGCAATTGGCTTACCCTTTAAATATATCATCCGATAGAGCTTGAAAAACTGAACAATTTGATATAATTTTCAAGGTTTTGAATAAGTTCTAATAGATTTTGAAGGAGATTTTGTAAAAAACTCATTTGGAATTTATTATTTGGAATGTAAGTTCAAGGCCCCTGCTCGAATATATTATGACGTGAATCAAATAAAATTGTCATTAATCTGAACTTTTGTATAATTAGCATTAATTTGATTAAAACAGAGTGCGAATGATCGTCTATTCTGTACGTGTTCATTATATGCGCACATTTGTATCAGTCTTCATCATTTTTAAACTTATGTATGATTTTTCTCTCCAAATCTATTTAACTTCTTTCGTGCTAGGCGCGTAAATCAGTTTGCGTGATATAACTAATGATATTCAACTTTATTGTGCGAGAACTGTATGGTTCACTTGTTGAATTAACTTCCTGTCTATCTCTCTCATCTTGTTGGTTGATAAAATTTAATTAATTCTCTTCCTTGACCTCCTATTCTTTGTCATTTTACGCATACTCAGATCAATGTCATCATTATCATCGATTGATTATTGTTCAGTAGCAGATAATGCAATGTTACAAAGCAAGTTAGTTATACAAAAAGATGATAATGGTGTAACACAGATTGTTCCCAGAACAGATACAATAACAGCATCAACGGCAATATTACCAGCACCGAAATCGACAGCGAACAATGACGAAATGATATCAACAATAGTTAGCAATTCAAAAATTTTAAAATCAGCAACAACAACAACAACATCGAATGATGATAAATTACCGTTAAAAAATGGTTGGAGTTTCTACTTTTATAAAGCTGATAAACAGCGTGATTGGAAACAAAATGTCATCTATATTACATCAGTCAGCTATGTTGAAGATTTTTGGTCGTAAGTATCGTGTCACGGAAGAGTAGTAGTAGCAATTGCCTGATATTACTGAAGAAATTCATTGATCACAAGTTCGGCTAATACTGTTTTAGCGTAACTTTTTAACTCTTCATACGCTTTTTTTCCTCTAGATTTTATACACATACATATGGTTTACGTGATTTAAGTAACGGCTCTGATTATATGATATTTAAAGTAAGATTGTGCGTCATCAATAGATATACAGTCGTTTTTAACTTACATTCTAATGTACAGTTTGGTTGTTTACCAATGTGGGAAGATCTATCCTCACGTGGCGGTGGAAAATGGGCGGTTACCATTGATTCAAAGAAACGAAAACGTGATCTTGATGGATATTGGTTACATTTGGTAAAAATCACGTTCGACAGTCTTTGTTGATAACTTATTCTCTATTCTCTCTCTCTCCTCTAGATGTTACTCTTGATTGGTGATATTTTTGGTGAATTGAGCGTGCATATTAATGGTGCTGTTGTATCATTACGAGTTAAAGGTGATCGATTAGTCCGAAAAGCCCTTTTTAAAAATATTGACGAAGATCTTCAGTTTATAAATAAGAAGGCCATTTACTAAGACCATTTTAGATTGCTTACTAATAATTTTTAATTAAAATCAATGTTTTTCTTTAGGCGATCGATTAGCATTATGGCTAAAAAAAGTTGATGACGAAAATATAATTAAAGCTATTGGGTAAGAAAGAAATTGAACAATTAAATTGTTGTACATTAATTCACTTATTTTTAGAATGAAATTCAAAGATTTACTAGGATTTCAAGCTAAAACCTATTTCGTGTATGAGGTATGTTTGACAGTTGATCATTTGGAAACTCTTTGACAACGATGTTTACAATTATTCTTCTACCATTGTAGTATCATGAACCAAAAATTGATAGCAATGAAATTCGTCTAACTGTTTAAATCGAAATCTTTCAATTCATTAAGATTATCCAAATAATTTTCAATTTCACATAATCAGGAAGATTCATTTTAAATTCGGTCGAAAACATGATTCAGATAATTATTATGCTATTTTTTTGTCTTTAGATCTTTTGAACAAACGACGCTCGAAGCTTGTGACTTTCTTTATTTTGTGATGATAAGTGTGTTGAACAAAATGGCAGATCTCAAAGGTCTCTCAGTCAGTTAAGCACATTTTTCTTCACAAAATGAGACAATTGTGTGAGAATCGAGCGTCATTGTGTTCAAAGGATATCAAGACAACAAAATGTCTAAATCATGTTTTCGGACGAGTTATGCAAAATGGTCAATACGTGTCGGGAGAAAAATCAACTTTTTTTTATGAATATCATTTCTAATGTGTACATTCATAGAGAACTAAAACAAAATCTGGGAGAAAAGGTGAAAAACTATTTATTTTGTTTTTGCATCTTCGTAAATAATTTCGAAAAAAGGAAAATAAAAGAAATAATAGGAAAATCAAAATTTATACGATGTTTCCTTTATTATTGTACTGTAAACAAAATTGTAATTTAAATTTTCTTTTTCATGTGTTCGTTATGAGTATGTACATCACTAAATATAAACATGTATATATATCAGTAAAATACGTACACTTTCATTAGATAATATGGAGAAATATGTAGAAACTATAAGAGTATCAGAATATAGGACTTATGACAAACTATTAAAAATGTTATCTATAGAAGAACTTGTTTGTTGGTCATTCACCTTTTGAGTAGCATTACGATACATATCAACAATTGAAACTATACAATGTACAGTTAAACGAATAGTTTGAACACAAAGTAGAACAATTCATGTGGAGGGGATAAAGTATTTAATACCAATACATCACAACACATTTCTATTTCTCCGGTTTATTTATTTCCTAAATATTGTTAAACATGCTGCAAAAACGTTAACAAATAAAATAAATAAACAAAACAAAGCATTATGTAAATACTGCGCGGTTCCTACACACAAGTCATTAAAATGTGACTAATTTCTTATAATATTTCTCAAAAGTCTATATTCGTTTTATTTAGGGCAGAATAAATACAGTGTCAAATAGTATTTTACTTTAGAGAAAAAAGTTTTCAATGATTGGAATTAGTTACCAAGGATTTAACAGAAGTTTATATAGAAAGCACTCTTTTGAAACACTTGCAATATTTATACAACACAAATAAATATGCAAATCACATATAATGCATAAGTCATTGAAAAGAGTCAAATAACATAACGGGAAGCTCACAAAAAACTTTCTTCTATTTCCGTTCTTAAACATATCACAAAAATGCTTCAAAATAAGTAGAATTAGGGAACGACTCGATTTTAATACTAGTTTTACAGAAATAAACGCGAAAAAGTAATGGTTTCATTAAAATAAACATCCCTTTTGTCGATGATAAGAACAAAATTGTCGTACTAAATCGAAGAAATCTCTCGTACATATTTATATCTTAACAAGCAAACAAAAAAGAAAAAGAAAAAGAAAAATCGAGAAAAACATGGCAACATGTTAACAATAAATTTTCCTAAAGAAAACAATGATAAAAATCTATCACTCTTCATACATTGGTCGTTGATGTGGTCCACCACCTTCATTATGTAAATCAAATTGTAGTCTGCTTTGTGGATGCAATTTTATCATTTTTTTCCATCGTCTACCAATTTCTCTAACAATCATTTCATTACGAGCTTCTGATGTCCATAAAGCTATTTTGTGTCCACGAGAACGAATATTTACAACAGCACCGGTTATCATTGATGATAATGGGATTGAATCCGATTCATATGAAAATAAATCACCAATTAAACTCAATAATGTTTCTAACCATATTTCATCTAGTCTCGATTCATCACGACCTAATATTAATAACCAACGACCACCAGATGAATTTTTTGGATCTTCCCACATTGGACGAATACCTACAAGAACAAAAATACAGTAGGATAATTCTTTGATTCTGGAGCGTGTGACGACATACATTTTTCATGTACTGGACATGAGAATCCTGTGCTCATACTTTGAAAAACGGCCTTTTTAAAGTTGACTTTTTTTTATTGTTAAGTGCTTTTAAATCATTTTGAGAGCTAGTTTATCGGATTGAACTTGAAAAGACGCGTCGAATGCATATACTGTTATCTTTTTCTGACTTGACTTTGTGGGAAAATACAATTTACAAAAAGAGTGATTGTTTTAAAAATTTCCTAAGAGTCGTTCGACATTTTGGAATTTTCTGTCTGTGAAAAGTATTTTAGTGCCATATATAATCTGGCAGTTTCATCTCAAAAAAATTGTTTCATTAAAAAACGATGACAATTCTCCTAAAACATCCGTTCTGCTGGAGACTTTTCTCCACCGAAGAGGTCACTGTGTAGCTGTTTTAACATTTTTTAACGTGATATTCGTCACCAGAGATCAAGTTGGACTAATCCTGAAGGTTGGCATAAAGTGAATATAAACGTGGTATACTTTCGAAAACGTGATCCAACGATGCAGGATAAATATGAAATCTGTCTCTCTACGAACAAGAAAGATATACGTAAACAAATCAAGTGCGAAATCAATACTCAGTAAGTGATCACAAACATTTTTTTTAATAAACAGTTGAAATTGTGACATTCAAGCTAGGATGAACAGCAGATGTTTCTGTTCGAACATCTTGAAGTATAATTAAATATGCTAAGAAGAGACTAAAAATAGGAATTGTTCTTACTTTAGAAAATAAGTAACATATATTCACGATCGACAAATGTAAGACACACTCACCTGTTTTGAAAAAATAATAATCACAGTTTGATTTATCTTTAGCTAATTTTGATGGAATTTGCAAATGATTATAGGTTGCCCAAAAATCTTCAACATGTTTAACATCCATTATTCGTATTAAAGAATCTTCCCAATTTGTACGTTTATCCGGTTTAATATACCAAAATGACCAATGATATTCTAATGGTGATTTTGGATTTATTTCCTCTTCTTCTTCTTCTTCTTGATTTTGATTATCATTGGATGGTGTCATCACAGTAGTAGTATCGATTAACAATTTTTGCTGTAACTGGGTTTCAAGCATGTTATTCGTTTCAAAAAAGAATATATCCTTAAATGAAGACGAAACAAAAAAGAATTCAACAAGTAGAAGAAAACAATAGGATAAACCACTTGACTGTCATAGGGAATATGAAGAGTTGTATTTTTCTCTCTCTTATCACTGCCAGTTACTTCTTCTAACTGATCTCTCAAAGATTCTGTATTAATTCTTAATTTCTTTTGCGGATAAAAACAATTAAGATGCTGATGCTAGAGATTCCTCTTAATTCTTTGGAGATGTGTCAAGTCAACAGAATTACATCATTATCCTTTCTGTTGTATTTCGCTACTTTATTTTACTATTTGTTACACAAATACACATACACAGTTTTGAATTGTATTATAGTTTTCTCTATTTTGTGAATAATATCAATGCCCGTTAGTACGACGATATTCCCATTATGCTTAGCTTCTAATCTAAAAGTCAACAAAAACAAGATAATAAAATATGAATCATGGAAAAAGTTAATAATATAGTTGAAACTAAACGTAAAGCGATCTATATCGTACAACATAGGCAACAGTAAAAAAATTTGAAAGGTTCGCTGCTTCTACAGAATACGTATACTGTATGCTGTAGATGTGAAGAAGAATGAGGGTATAATTATTTTGCACAAATGTTCAAAGCTAGGGGTACCACAATTCGCAGAGAAGACATGAGATCTTCACTCACTAAAATTCAAAAGTTTTTGCTTTTTTCTAGAAAAATAGACAGCGAAAGGCTTTTATATTACGTCTCCGGTGGCTTTGAAATCCATTAACCTTCACTCAAAAATCTGACTCATAGAAGTCAGAGCCGTAACATTTGAGACTTATTGCAGCAAAAACCCAGCTTAACACTTGATAGTCAAGAAAAATTCGACACTGTATCGCTTTTAAAAAACCTGAAGTAGAAAAAGTGTGTGAACGTTTATTATTATTGTTAGACAATTTTTTTAGAGAATATTCATAAATAATCGAGATCACGTTGATTCCTGCAATGTTATACTACTTTCATCTCTGTGAATATGACTCATTTGTTAGATCCATGCGTTTTATAGGCCGAAGTAGTTTGAGACTTAACAAACCTCGATAAATGTAACTATTGTAGATTTTTTAAGTACAAGTTCGAAATAGTACTTTGAACGACTACCAATTCTTTCTTACACTTATGCATTTTTCACACGGCACATGGAAGAGGAATCGCTTCACAACGCCATCCTTCTACAACGGAACAAAATGGTGTAGAAGACGAATCAATCAATGTTTTGATGATCTTTATTTAGTAAAAAGATAAAAAGAAATAGAGCTCATATTTCAGATGGCACATTTACTTGGAAGTAAAGCATGTATAGACAGTCTTCGCACCGATGTGGAAGATTTACAAGCCGTTATTTACGAAGTAGTTGGCAAAACAGGCAGTATCAAGTACGTATATTTAAAAATCACTAATAAAAGAAAATTTCAGATCATTAATTGCTGTTTACTAGAGACAGTTACAACGGTTACTCAGTCAATGAAAAGCTTCACACTACTTTAATTTCGGTGTGCGTCGTAACGGTGTGTTTTGATCTGAAAAGCAGATTTCGGAAATACAAGTAGCGTTCAAATTCTTAGTCACCCAAGTCATTTAATAGCTGTTTTTGAACTTTATTGGCGTGTTTTGCATGTTTGTTCCAAACGTTCTAATTGAGTTCAATATCGATAACATTTCTCCCTAATCAGTAATAGAGAATGTGATGAAATGCAACGTTGTTTCTTGAAACTATACCACCATCAAGAATGTAGTATAAAAAGATTTGTATTTAGATGTTTTTCTTGGAAATTTCCTGATAAATTAGCAACCGATTTAGATATGAAAGAATTACTACAACGTTATCAGTATGGGAAACATGAAGTTGATAATCAAGTGACACATATAGTTTTATTTGAAATTATTATTGACAGGTATGTACGAAAAAATTGATTCTTTATCACTTTAAAGATTAACTTATTTCTTACTTGTAGACTACTATTGATATTGCACGGATCTTGGCGTTTTATTGATGAAATTCAAATGAATATTCAACCCGATTCATCCTCAACCAATCATCAATCGAATTTAAGTATTGGACTTGTTGTTAAAAAATATTGGAATAAATTGTTATATTTACAAACCATTGTCCAAAATATGTGCCGAGAGGTTCGTTGTAAAGGTATATAGTACTATACAAAACTATAAGAACGCTGACATGGAACAAAATGTTAAATTTTCTCGATGTTTACTATAGATCTTTGCAGTCAAGTAAGAACAATGTTTCTTTCTTGTGATTTTTACTATCAAATATTTTGTACTGTCACTTCTCTTTCCACACTCATACATTATTGTAAACATCGTGGAGCTACATGATGAGAACAAGACTTTGTAAAATATATCGCTTCACCATTTTTTCGAACTAATGTTGATCCTTTATTTCTCAGTTTTGGAAAAATTGAAATTTTACGCTTTAGAATAAACAATAATTAAACCCAAATATGGATAAGAAAAAGATTATTTAAACTAAACTATCAAAAAGATTTAGTCAAATTTAAAATGGAATTCAATAAATTTTCTATATTTCAATGTATTTTTCATTTTTTCAAACCTCATAAACTCAAAGCCTCAAATTTTCGTTTGAATATGATTGTGTACTATTTTTTCTTATCCATATCTAGGTTTAATTATTGTTTATTCTAAAATTTAAAATTTCAATTTCTCCAAAACTGAAAACTGCAAGATCAACTTTAATTCGAAAAGCTGGTAAAGCGATATATTTTCGAAAGTCTATTCTCTGTCATCATGTAGCTCCGATGTTTATAGTCATGTATGAGTATGAAAAGTGAAATCACAGCACAAAATATTGAAAATATGTGTTAATAAAAATCACAAAAAAGAGATATTGTTCGTAGTTGACTACAGAGATCTATAAGAAACATCGAGAAAATTTAACATTTTGTCCCATGTCAATTTTCTTATAGTTTTGTGTAGTACTGTATATACACTTTGTTGACAGATTAAAATGTTTTTTCAACATTTTGCAATATATTTTGTGATGTAGTTGTTTTTATTCATCTTTTCCTAATTAGGATCGTAAACGTGATCAATCTCTAGATGGTACAAAAACTCATCGTGTAAAAACTTCATCCATTCTACTTCGTTCTAAAACAAATATTGACATGTCGTCATCATCAAATGAAAAACGTTGTCAAACAGTTGAAACATCATTTGGTCCATGTTCATCATGTTCAAAAGTTCAAACGTGTTTACGTGAAAGTGGAGATTTATTGATTAATCTTTGTCATACATATAATTTACCATCATCTCTTGCTCATTTTCGTAGTGGTCTCAATCATCCATTACCAGAATGGTTATCATCCGATGATATTAATCGTTGGTCAGATAATCAAGTAAAAGATATTGAACGTCTATCAAAACATTTAGAACATTTACAAAATTCATTAAATACATGTAAAACAGAATTGCAAACATTAGATAATAAATTAAAAAAACAAGATGAATTAAGAAAAAAATTACAACAAACAATTCAAGAAGATAAAGATTCAAAACGAATATTAATAGAATTATACGATAAAAAATTATTAGAACAAAAACAGGAATATGAACAACAAGGAAAATTATTAGATGAATCTATTAGACAGTTGACATTAAATAAACAACAATTAGAACAAAAATTAAATGAATTAAATGAAGATAATTTAAATAAAACTGATCAAATTCAAAAATTAGGTAAATAATACATAATATTAATATATGATGAGACATTTTATTTTCTATTTATAGAATTATCTAAAAATGAATTGCAAATTCTTGTTCAGAATTATGTCAGATCGGATGATAATCTAAAACTTGTCGAACAAGATCGACTTCGTACACAAATTGAATTAGATCTAATGAAAAAAGATTGTGATGATAAAACGCGAGAGATACAAAAAGAACGAACAAGAATTGAAAATATGATTCGACAAGAACAAGTAAACATTTTTATATATCCATAAAATATATTAATCTCTATAATAATATATAATTTACAATTTTTAGACATATCAAATTAAACAAAAAACGTTAACAACATCATTAGAAGAATTAACACAGGAATGTGAATCATTAAAGTATGAAATATTGTTGTTGTTTTATTTTAATTTTTTAAGGAATATCCATCATCTTTATCGTTTAGGAAAGAAGTAAATGAATTAGAGATTATTAGAGATGATTTGCAATTATCATTGGAACAAACACAAAAACAAAATAATCATCATTTGACACAAGTAGCTGATAAATCAAAAATCTCATCAATTATGGTATGATTTTAAATAAGTTTTGTTCTTGTTAAAAAATAACAAAAATCAATTAGAACTTGCCCAGGTCAAACAATTCTACAAGATTTCTACTTTAGAATCCTGTAAGATCCTACGAAAACCTTGTAGGATTTTGTAGGAAAACTTCAAAATCAAAGTTTTCCACAAAATTCTACTGTAAGATTCTTATAGGATCCTGTGGTTCAAATCTTGTCAGATCCTACTGTAGGATTACAGTAGGGTTTTATCTGATTTTCTGCTGATTACTCACCCTTTTTTGTCTGTTTTCATGCCAAATCCGTTCACTTTCAATCATAAATGTATTTTTATTTACTCATATGTACAAACATCACTTGCAAATTACAGTTCATCATAGAATAATAGAAAATTTAAATGTAAATAGGTTTATTGTTTTTATTTGTTTAATTATCCTCTAATCCTAGCCAGTCAGAATTAGATGATTCTGAGCTGATATAAGCCCAAGACATCTGAGTACTGACTCACACATCGTCGAACAATAGTGAGTTTTTATTGCTCACAGTGTTCGGTGCAAAAATTTGAGCCCAAAAAGAATTTTTCATTTTCTACAGTAGAAGTAGAGTTGCATTTATATTAGAGTTACGGTAAAACACGTCGATGATTGTGTTCTCCTATAGAAAAAGAAAAGAAAATATATACAGAACAAAAAAAAGAGGACTCTTACCAAATCCCACACAAAATCTTATCATAGGATTTTGTAAGAAATGCATAAGATTTCTATTATAGGAATTCTATAGGATTTTTGCTACCATCTTGATATATCAAGAATCCTACGGAATTTTTGTCGTAGGATTTCATAGGATCTTACAATTGGAATCCTATGAAATCCGATTAAGAGTAGGATCCTCGTAGGATGACTTGATCTGAGTGTATAATTTTTGTTTGAATTAGGAAGCAAATAATCAATTTGTTTGTGATATTACAATGTTGAAAAGTAATCTTGAACAGTTACAACAACAATTACGACAAATGGATGAACGAGAACAATTACTCATACATTATCCTGATCTAAATGGAATTATTGAAACAGGACCACGTGAGTATAATTTTACATAATTATGTATAGATAAAATGAACTTTAATTATATGTATTTATAGCGACGAATAATATTGTAGAAGATATGCAAAATCAGATACAAGCAAATGAAATTCGAATTGATTTACTTCGTCGACAAACCGAATCATTACGATCATCATTAGAGAAAATATTGAATACACATAATAATAATCAACAACTAACTACAACAACGATTGATGAAGAAAAATTTCAAAAAATACGAAATCATTCACGAATGATGATATCTGAAAGACGAAATTCATTTAACAGTGATACATCACAACCAACAACCACGGTTCGTTTTCTTTCATAACTATACAAATTATAATCTTTTTGTTAATTTTATTTATGATTAATTTCAAAAATTTCTTAAATATTTAGAAAGTTCGTCAAGCTCCTTTGTGGAAATTGAATAATGAGATTGTTCTACAAGAAAGGTATCTATGTATTTTTATAACTAAATATTCGAATTTTAAGATATTTTTGTTTTGTTTTTTTCCTATATCAGAACGATAACGCCCACAAATTATATTCCAAGATTTAGTGAACAAGATTATGTCGCTAATGGTTGGATTAGATCTGATTCAGATGCAACAATGTCGAGTAACAATAATAACAACAGTGATATTGAACATTCACCAAAACGACATGATAGGTCATCATCTTCATCATCATCAAAAACACAGACAACGTAGGTCGAAAATGTTATTTTCTATGACACCAAAGTAACTATTGTTGTTGTTATTTTTTATTTAAATACTTAGTGATCTTATTATACAAGCTGAAAATATGTCGTCTCGTCCACCTACAACAATGACAACAAGAAACAGTACTCGAGATCCTGGAAGAGCATCAGCAATACCACCAGCATCTGAATTTGAAATGATTATTGGTAAGAGATCTACAAAATCACATAGTAATAGTGAGAATAGAATATATGATTTAAAATTTTTGTTCAGTTGGGAAGACGCATTATAGTACACTCGAACAGAATATAAGAAAATAGATTGTTGTATATGAATGTGTGTGTGTGTGTGTGTGTAAAGAAGAAGAGAACAGTGCAAGAGAATGAATAGGTGCGGATGGATGGATATAAACTAAACAAAAGCAAAAGAGCGAATAAAATAATAAAATAAAAATGAATAGAATAAACAATGTTACTGTTACGATTTATCGAATTTCTGTTGTTCAAACATTGACTAAAATATTTCTTATAGGTAAAGGCCGAACAAGTCGACCATCATCAGCTGTACATCGAAATAAAACTAATAATTTAACAACGGCAGACAATTCACGACGTGATACCTCATTAACAAAAACGAGTGGTATACATTTGTATTAGTTTTTTTGTTTTGTTATAGTTTCATTTTCTCTATTATTCTTAGGTCGAACAACTGAAACAACTGCAAAGACCACGACATCAACAATCAGATCAACAACTGAAAATGGCAGAGGAGGAGAACATCTTCATTGTATAACGTGTAATAGATCTTATGATGATAAACGAAATTTTGATATACATAAAATGTATTGTAGAAATTAAGTTTATTTTTTAGTTTGTGTGTGTGTCTGTTTCTTATACTTGCCTAATACGTGTTGTACAGTAAAATAAAATTTTTTTTAAAGATATAACGATTAGAAAACATCTAATCGACTTGGGAATTTAATAAAAAACATTACTACTAATAAGATTTAGTTGAATATAATGAGAAATATTATTTTCTTGAGATCAATATTTTTTGCGCTAAGTTGACAAAAGTTTCATTTATAAAATTAAATGTTAAAAGAATCTGAAATATATTTGTGAAAATGAAAATGTTTCTACTTTAAATTTTAAAATACGAACTAATTTTCAAAAAGCCCTCTCAAAAACGTACTCTGGAAATTTTCAAACTTTTTTTACAAATAGATACGCTGAAGTCCTGACTATTGATTACTTAAAAGCCGTAAATTTCTATTTTTATTTTTTTGTTGTAGAAAAATCATTGTGAAAATATGTGCTTCTACGATAACACAATTTTGAGCAGTATAACAAGCCGTAAAAGTAAATTTAACGAAATCATTCTTAAGCATTGTTCATAAAGCGAAAAAATATTGTGTATCAATGATGAAAAGCAGCAACTCAAGTTTTGTAAAAACATTATAAATTTGTTGTAATTACATACCTATAGAACTTTGGAATGTAACATCATGTTCTTCAGAAACCGATAAAATATAAACCGAATTTTTTAGATAGAAATTTTTACTTCTTAATCGTTTATAGAGTTCTAATACTTTAGCTGATATTTAAGTGAGAAATTATAATACTTCACCATTACATTGAATTCGATGTTGTCAATCAAATCTTGTATCAAATATCAAATTAAATTTGTTCTATAGTACATGTAACATAACTAGTCATAGTTATGTGATAATATTATCAAAGTTTATTTCTAAAAATAACTTTGACAATAAAAAATCAACATCTCCTATTCCTCTTGTTTTTTTTGGATGACATATAAAAACAAAACAACAAAAATACTTAAGCTTTAACACCATAAACTCGTCGTGGAAATGCCCATTGTTTTCGTTTTGTTTTTGCTGATCGAATTGATTTTTCTTTTCTTGTCAATAAACGACGAATGGCACGTGTCTTTTTTGGACGTAAATCCTTTGGTTTAAATTTTTTACCATGATATAATTTACGCAAATTTTCCTTTGTTGTTTGATGTGTGACAATTAAAACACGAGCAATCGATTTTCGAACACTAAGAAGAGAAAAATCAAAGTCAAATATCATTGAGTATTAAACAAAATCGAGTGTTACCTTCGTATTTTTGATAGTTTAGCTGCACCGCCACTACCCGTCACTTTTCCCACACGTAATACGTTCAATTCTTGACGTAAATCTTCCAGTTGTTTTTGTAAATCATCTATTCAACAACCAAACAAGAGAAATAATTTAAGATTCCAAGGGAGAATTAATTGAGAGGGAACGTACCGGGCTTTTTACCACGAAGATCTGTACATTTAATACGTGTCATCTTTTTATTGATCGAGAACTAAAAGCACTCTAACACAATAGGAATAATCTGAAAGTAAAAGTACACGATGAAGTAAAGAAGAAAGGGATGAAATAAAAAGATGAATAAATACAAAAAATGAATGGATAAATGAAATTTTTTTGTTTTTTCATCCGCAAAATGTTTTTTTTTATGACAAAAACAAAAATACTGACCCTGATCTCTAATATCTGACCACTTTAACCGCCTGAAAACGATATGTATTGTAAATTAGAAGAAAGACTCTATCAAAACTAAAACAATGATTGAAAACTACTAATTAATATTCTGCAAATATTATCTTGCGGCATATTCTTCTGAGTAAAAGTATCAAAATAAAAAAGATAGAAGCAACACTATATACCATTTCAACATTTGGCAAAAGTCTTTTTCTTCAGTTTCATAAACTGTAATGGTAATACTTTGAAGAGATTTTTGTTTGTCAAATCGATTTTCTCATTCTATAAGTATTACGCTACAAACAACCATTCAGGTGACGTATAGACAGACTGGTATAACCGGCTAACTGACTCGTATTTTGAAATAGTAAAAAGATCAACATAACAAGATGAATTGTAAGATTCATGGATTCATTCATTGAGACAAAGAAAAGAAGTCATGAAACTATTGAAAATATAACCCACACATTTTTGAGGAAAAGTATAAATTCAAAAATTGCGACTGTTGCAATTTTGCAACTGTTGGGTACACTCACTGATTTTATTAAAAACGCTGAGACTAATTGTCAAATCCAACGTATTCCATAGTTTACGCAACCGTTCTGTTCGTTGACTAATAAATCATCACTTATTCCCCCTCACAAACAGAAAAGCGAAATGATCTGCTTCACAACGAGAACAAATTCTACTGACGAAATTTTTATTAATATTTTAAAAACTATTATTGATTTTGAAGGTCCATAGAACATAATAATGTCTGAAAATGAACCAATCGCATGAATTGTTGCTCTCATAATTTATTTGTTGTCGAAAAGGTAAATGGTACCTAAATAGATAGTTTCAGAAAAAAAACAGATAGAACTGCAGTTTATCAATAACCAAATTTAATTATTTCAGATCGGAAAGATTTCTGATTTGGAACGCATTACCTCTAGAAACATATAATAGCATGAGTTCTATGTTGTTTTTCTAGAAAAAACATTTTTCAGTTTAGATTCGAAATGGGATCGAAACGTCCGGAACATCAGGCACCACCCGAAGTGGTATAGTTTATTGTCATATTTCACTAGTATTTTTTCTTAATGGAATTTTTATTTTAGTATTATAATGAAGATGAAGCAAGGAAATATTCACAAAAGTAAAAAGTGAAGAAAATTCACTCTGTGTTATCATATGAAACATTCTATTTAAGTACACACATTATCGACATTCAGACAAGATTATCTGAACGAGCTATAGAATTACTTAATCTCCCAGATGAAGAACCGTGTATGATACTTGATATTGGGTGCGTATCAATGATCTTTGCAACAAAAAAATATGTTTTAGAACGAAACTACATTTTTTAATCCTGTAGTATGTATTGATGAGGCCGCTGCTTTCGCATGTTTTCAAATGACATTTTTGTGTTCCTCCGATTTTTGACTTTGCGTTCAGATTCAAACAATCATCGTCTATTTAAAAGATGCAATAATGTAAAAGTCTTAGTTATCACTTTTATATCTGTTGTTTGCTAGTTCAGTTATTGAAAAACCTGATTTCTTTAAAATGATGATTTTCTTTTTTTCTTTATTAGATGTGGATCTGGTTTAAGTGGGGAAGTATTAACAGACTTAGGACATAGTTGGATTGGCTTAGATATATCACCAGCCATGCTTGGTATGTTGATGAAATAAGGAAAATATTTTAGTTTATCAATCATTTGATTTGAATTATTTAGATGTAGCACAAGAACGTGAAGTTGAAGGAGATTTAGTCAATGGTGATATCGGTTATGGAATGCCATTTCGAGCTGGCTCATTTGATGGAGCTATCAGGTACTGATGTATTGAGAATATAAGTTAACTTGCATCCAGCAATGATATAAGACTCTTTTTCTATCTGAGACGCTCAAAATATACTTATCTTTTTTTCTAGTATATCAGCATTACAATGGCTATGTAATGCAGATAAAAACTTTCATAATCCTGTTAAACGTTTGTATAAATTTTTTTCAACATTATATGCTTGTCTAGTATGTATATCAAATATCTAATTAGATCTTTTTACATTTATTTGTAACATGATTTCTGTAATAGAATCGTGGTGCTCGAGCCGTTTTCCAGTTTTATCCAGAAACAAGTCACCAGGTATATAGTCATATAGATACAGCTCTTCTTTGTAAGAATAACCGTAAATGGAAAATTAAAGTTATCTGAGTTCAATGAAATTTTCATCATCTGACCACTAAATGCACAGAACATTCAACATATTGTCAAAAAATCTCTTACACATTTACCGATCTTGAAGGAGAAGTTGAAACTGAACGCTCATTATCCTCCCTCTTGGTTGGTATCAAACAATCTACCTTGGGAATACGAAACATTTTCTATTTCGATGTAACTGAACTGAAGTAGAAAATATTTACTGAAGAATACTTTTTCATTTTGACTTTTAGTCAACTGTTTTTGTTAGGTATGTTGCTACACATAAATTTAAGCAGTCAAAATTGTTACATTTGAACATCTGTACACATATTTTCAAATTTTATGAATTTTAACAATTTTTGATTGAATTCATGCCAAAGAATACATGGTACCGGTTGGAATCAAATTTTTCTATTAACTAAATGTTTCTAGTAACGATAAAAACTATATTAAATTGTATTTTAGCCTATACTCTTATCTTGAGCGATCGTTATAAGTTTTTTATCGAAGAAATGCCTATTTTTCACAATACTGAATGATCATTAACTTAAAATAACCATTTTCTCATTTAGTATAAGAGGCACATATGTAAGAGTTCAGATATTTTCTATTTTTTTCTGGATATATTTGGATGTCAGCTCTCTTAGAAGAATCAAACTTTCAAACAAAAAAAGTTCAAAGACTCTTTCATCCACAACGACGCTTAAGTTGAATACAGAGTGTCGCTATATTCTTCGTTTGTTGAACTTTATAAACTCTTCCTAATTTCATTTATTTTACTAATTCGATGAAGTTTCGACGTCTTCCTCAGATCAAAATATTTATTAAAAACTTATCAAGACCTTTTTTACAAGAAGTAAACTTTGTAAACTGATAGTCTACACGAAAGTATTCATTCTTCTGTTTGTTGATGGTCATTTTACAAAAAAGTCGTCATACTTCCGAGCAATTTCTGTATTGTATTAATGACGTTGCCTGTACATGCGCAGATGTTGCACGCTATTCAGTGAAATAGAAATTTTGAGATTGAAACTGCTTAATTAATTGATATAGTCCGTCTGCTTTGATTGGCTAACTTAACTTCGCCGTCATCTGTTTAGGTTGATATGATAACTCAACAGGCAATGAAAGCTGGTTTTACAGGTGGACTTGTTATCGATTATCCGAATAGTACAAAAGCTAAAAAGTATGATGCCACGTCTATCTTCATAATCTTTGTTTTCTACTGTCTTTGTTTTTAGAATGTTTCTATGTTTATTTTCTGGTGGTTCTGTTCAACAATTACCGAAAGGATTAACAGGCGAAGAAGGAAATGAAGAACAAAGTCACGCAAGATTCGATAAAGCGAGGTTTGTAACACGCCGTTTTTCATCTAATTATTCTGTTCTGAATTGGATATGAAAAAAAAAGATCTCGGAAAATTAACAGAATAGATCTCGGAAGAAAATAACAACAGAAACGATCTCGGAAAATTTAATTCAATTTTTTATTCCGCAGAAAAGATTTCGGATTAATTAATTAATAGCAAAAGCTCTCACACCACCGTGTATTATAGATGAAAATGTTTTCTTTCGATAAACACAAACATGTTGATCTTTAATGAAATTTGATAAATCGCTTTCGTTGTCGCATAAGAGCACTTCATTCCATGTACAACGAAACTGCTTCGGGAGCACCTTATATCGCAAGGTAGCCGCAAGGCGGGGTCTTCTTCCTTTCACGTACGACGTAACATTTTTAAGTTTACAGTTAGAATGAAGTAGAAAATTTTATGATTTCATAATACCAATGAAATTCCAGGATCTTTTCTGCAGAATAAAAAAATAAATAAAATTTTCCGAGATCTTTTATGCAGGAATGCTTAACTGACATCTTTCCGAGATCGTTTCTGTCTTTTTTTCCTTTCGAGATCTATTCTGCTAATTTCCCGAGATCTTTTCTGATTTTATCCTTCTGAATTTGGCTGCTTTCTAAACGTGACCAAAGCCAATTAGTATAGAAGTGGTTGTAAATTGGAACGAGTAAAATTACATTGGTCTACGTTTCCAAAAAGCGATCACTTTTTAATTAATGAGTAATCAACAATCGTAATTTGAAGTATGAATATATAAATTGGTCACTTTCTGAACATAATAGAGTATAATAGAATTAGAAACATATATAATAAGAATTGGTGATAATACGCAGTTATACTAAAAAAACGAATGCCTATATTTAGGTTATCATAGACAACTAAATGCATGTGTGCGAACGAATCCGGATCTCTGGACATGGATTAATGAAGTTTGTTCATCTGAAGAATCTGTTTAAGTCGCTATGAACGAGAACAAGACCAAGAAAAATAAAATAAATACGTGATGATGACAAACTTAAATTAGCAAAAACAAGATATATCCAAGATAAACACTTTGATAGTTATCAAAAAGTTTTAAGTGCTCTTTCTTATCGATATATAGACGTTATAAAAGATGTCAGAGATAGTAGTGACGAAGACTAAATTTTTTCTTGATAGAACTTTTTTAGTATAGCTGCGTATTATCACCAATTCTTATTATATATGTTTCTAATTCTATTATACTCTGTTGTGTTCAGAAAGTGACCAATTTATATATTCATACTTCAAATTACGATTATTGATTACTCATTAATTAAAAAGTAATCACTTTTTAAAAACGCAGACCAATGCAATTTTACTCGTTCCAATTTGTGACCATTTTTAAACTAATTGACTTAAATTTTGGTCATCTTTAGGAAGTTACGCTGAATTTACAGATAGTAGAAGATTTTCAATGTTCTTCAGCTTACATTCAGTAAAAGACATTTAAATCTTGAGCAGATAATTCGATTTTTTTTTATTCTCATCGTGTATGAAGTTGATATGTGATCTCTTTTGATTTGTTTAGACAACGATATAAAGATCTTAAAGGTAAATCGTTGAAAAAAAGTCGTACATGGATATTAGAAAAGAAAGAACGATGGAGAAATCAAGGAAGGTATGTTTTCATTTTTTTTGATGTTTTCTTTCACATATTACTCTTGCCTCATTTTTAGGGATGTACGACCAAATTCAAGATATACTGGAAGAAAAAGACCACAACCATTTTAATATCCGCTGCTATCTTGATTATATTTTCTTTTTCTAAAGTGAAATTTGCGTTGTTATGTTTTTTGGTTAAATACGCCTTTTTTTACAAAATAAACAAAACAGTAATGGTAACTTCTATCTTATACAGATGTTTAATAAGACAATATCTGTGAAAGTTTTATGCTCAGTTCTAAGTTGATAATGGTGAAAGTGAACACGATACTGATTTCAGAACACTGTTGAAGCAAGAGAGTTTGTTCGAAACTGAGTGATTGATAATGCAGCATTGGCAAAAAGTGAATAACCCAAAGTCCATCTTTATTCAATCAACAAACTCGATATGTATACATATATTCCATGCGAAACGTTGATCATAAGGCTTTTACTCTTTTAGAGTTGAGGAGATATATCGACTTTTCTTCACTATCAGAGTGGTCTACTGTTCGGCTATTTACTGTAACAGTTTGATAATCTGATGCTTGCTTGTTGCACAATTATGAGTAGTGACTTATGAGAGATTTCGCATTTTTTTTTGTATAGAAGGCTCAAAACTTCGTTGAGAAGCCATATTTTAACTACAAAATTTTGGGTAAAAAACCGTTTCGCCAAAAGACGATTCGCCAAAAGACAATTCGCCGTGGCGAAATGTCATGTGTCGTTTCGCCAACTGGCGAAATGTCGTGTGCCGTTTCGGCCATTGGCGAAGTGTCAATGCCGTTTCGCCCAGAATTTGTACAGTTTCACCAATTGGCGAAATGGCACATGACATTTTGCCAGTAAATGGTTAGAACACCGTAAATTGTTATCAGTCCCCAAGTTAACTTAGGAATCTCACTGATTCTTGATCCCTAACTTGACTTAGGTATCGCTATTTAAATTATGATAATACATATGTAAAGAAAATGTCGCTTGACTATAGGGAAAACATTTTAAAGAGGAAAGAAGCGGAAAACTCATCCGACTATACTTTCTTTATCTCTATAAGTCACACTTATATGTATCTTTTCTTCCTGTCTATTTTCCGTGTTCTTCCTTATCTCTCTCTATCAGACCATGGAATATCGAATTTGTTTTTAGTTTGTTTAGTTTATTTGAAAATATATATTTCGAGGGAGGTTTCCAGGAAATTGTCTTTTGGCGAATCGTGCTCTGGCGAAACGTCAGAGATTCCCCAAACTTTTGCGTACACAAAAGATGGTAAAAAACCGTTTCGCCAAAAGACAATTCGCCGTGGCGAAATGCCAGTGCCGTTTCGCCAGAGATTCAAATTTTGTCCAGCCAATATTATATTCATGCATCTAATAATCTAGAAATTAGAAGTGTTTTTAATGTAATTAAAGGGAATGGGAAATTTTCATTAAAAAACAGTTAAAAACGTCGAGGGACACATGACTTCAAATATTCTTTTATTTAAGACGGAAAAAGTATTTTTTAGCATAGCGCACGTTCAAGCACTCTTTTTACACTTTTCAGCATCTAGAAGATACTGATGAGTTTATAAATGGATGATTTATCTTTGAAAAAATCATTTTAAACACATCAATACCAGGCAGCACTAAGTGCTGATCTTAACTCCTTGCTATAATATAATATTCAATAATTAGACAATATCTTAGAGAACGTTTTTGCATAGATATGATGTTCATATGTTATCGATCATATTCTGAGAAGTAAAGACCCGTTCAGCAACTAATCTTCAATTTTTAGAGATCGCACAATGATGAACACTCTGACGAAATTTTGTCAATCGGTAAGTAATTTCCATTTTATAATGATACAGTCAAGAATAATCGACAGAGATTTTTCAATTAAAATATTGCTTGTCAACGAAGTTTTGAGTTTTCTATACAAAAAAAATGAAAAATCTATAAAATAATTTGTCCATCATCCACTACCCATAATTGTACAACAAGTAACCATCAGATTATCAAACTGTTACAGTACATAGCCGAACAGGAGATCACTCCAATGGTGAAGAAAAGTCAATATATTTCCTCGACATAGCTGCTGCCTTGTCCGGACAAATTCCAGTTTTTTTGAGTAAGTTTCGGAATTTGTCCGGATTTTTAGAATTTTCTGCTTTTGGCTGTGTTTCCCTGATCATGAAGATTTTTAAGTATTTTTTTATCTATAGTTTGTGGAGATTTTCTTTCTCGTAATATAGGCTAGCTAAAGTGTCAGTTACTTTTCGGATCAAAACTATACATTCAAAACGCAGCGTATCGATTACAACTGAAATTTCTATTTACGTTTGTTATTTTCTCGAGTAAAATCATATAGAGCTAGAGAAGAAACCTTTTTGGCACTCTGGGCAGTAGAAAAAGATTAAATAAGGCAGTGAAAATGAATTTCCATTTTTGTTTCCAGATTTTTGACTTGTACAAGTGACAACTCTGCTCCTCAACTCTAAAAGAGAAAAAGCCTTATGATCAGCATTTCGCATGCAATATGTGTGTACACTAAATATCGAGTTTGTTGATTGAATAAAGATGGACTTTGGCAAGGTTATTTACTTTTGACCAATGTTGCATTATCAATCACTCAATTTTGAACAAACTCGTCGTGTTCACTTTCACCATTATCAGCTTAGAACTGAGTACTCAGGGGTTTGTTTAGTCAGCAAAACTCATATATTTATCATCTTGATTTTTTTACATGTAACTTATCTATCAAGTCTATAATTGGCATTTTTAAATACACATCTGGTTTAAGTACTTTTTTCGTTCAGTTCTAATGTAGATGGTTTGTTCATAAGTTAAGAGAAAATGGATAACTATGTATTCTGACGTGACGAAATATTGGCTTTTAGTCCTATTTTCTTCTTTCTTGTCACGTTTTGACAAGTGATAACAATTTTTTCTTATATTTATCTGATATTTGTGTCTATAGACTTTGTTTTTCTTGTCTATTTTGAACATCACACATGTGGTCATTATAAGAGATAAATTCCTGAGAAAAAAGGACTACAGATTTAAGAGGTAGATAGTTTTGATAACATTTTTCATTTTAACATTGTCGAAAGAAGAAGAGAAAAAAGTACGTTTTTTGTTGAATAACTAATAAACTTTATTACTAAGTTTGTGAACGTTAAATTCATCTAATGATACACGCTGAAACATGTTGAAACTGTTCATCAGATTATTGATGAATTATTTATAAAATGAAACTGCACCGTCTATTTTTCTCTCAATTTTTAACGATACATCGATATAAACAGAAAAATTTTTTCCTTCCAATTTTTTATCTTTCTTTCTTTCTTTCTCTCTCTCTCTCTCTCTCTGGAAGTCTAGGATATAGATAATGATCAATTCACAAATTGTCATGATTAAGAAAGAAAAGAGAGAATCTACCGGTCACTTTTTATTATTATTGCTGTTTGATCAAGTTTGAACCGTTAAGGTCATCGAATAGAGGGAGAAAAAAAACGAGAAAGATAAATCTGATTGTCATTAAAAGGAAAGTCTCTTTGATCATCTTGTTAAACAGATACAATTTATAATCATCAAACATGATGGCACGAATAAGTCATTAACAAGAAACACGATTTATTACATGTTTATATTTACAACTAATCATCTTTGACACCTAGTCTACTAGTAATGGAGAGTAGTGATGTTAAAAGATATTTTAAAAAATTTTCTGTACCGTAAAATCGTTTTTTGTATATACTATGCCATCAATAAATGTTTTATTTTTAATTGACACTCTTTTAGTTTATTGTGTTTCATAATTCGTGTGTGTATATAGTTTCATAATGTCAAAATAACAAATATCAATTTTTGGTCTCTCTCACTCATTGTAAAATGATACGTGTTTATCATGTTGTCGGTCACAGATATCAACTTTTCGTGTTTTTATTTTTAATGAATTTGAATTTGATGATTGACTCAAACATATGTGATGTGACCAGCAACGTTTTTGTTTTAGTTTTTATGGTCCTCTTCTTCTTCATTCTTATTTTTTAATTAGAACGGCAAGGATGCGAGACCGTGTCTTTCTTACTATCGAATAATAAACACACACACACACACAAAAAAAAAAAAAAAAAAAATGAATGATAACTAAAACATGCCTCTTTTTTTTTTATTTTATCGAAATTTATACAAAGAGAAATCGTACAGAGGTTTTAGTCAAATTTTTCTTATTTCTATTACAATTTGAGTACTCGATGAAGAATATAAGATTAGAACATATTTTATGCTTTTAAGTTACAATTATTTCATGATCAAGGATAAATTGTTGATAATATTCAAAGTTATTTATGCTGATATTTGTTGTCACTATCTGTTATCGACTGTTGTCTTTTCCCAGTATATGTATTCTTTTTTTTTCTTCTTCTTCTATTTAATAGATCATAGACATTCTAAAAATGGTAATAGTTTCGTTTTAATTTCAAGTACAACACTCATCACATTTCTATATATTGTTAATTTTTATTTGATAAGAACACTTGATTTCACTAGTATGTTTGTTCAGAACGAAAAAAAAGAAGAAGATAGTCACATTTAGTGACACGCCCTGTAGTATTATTGATCATTTAATCAATTAATTGTTAATAACAAGTGTTTGTCAACACATTCAGCGGCTAAAAGGCTTATTGACATTCTCACATGTATAGAAAACAATTGATTTTTGTGTGTATTTTGTTTTTGACTCTTACACTTTACACGATAAGTTAAGTGAAACGACACATGTGTTGTTAAATAAAAAATCAAATTTTTGTCTGTAAAAACATGCGTTTCCTTCTTCGAGAAGTTTATACAAGCATTTTTCCCATGTGAAGTAAGACTGATGTCATTCATAAAAAATTCTCTTGCATCATTGTAACTACACGCGATTATTTTACTTCCACTATTTTTCATCCATACATTTAATGTAAAATGATTTTGATTTCAATACTTATCGGCCCAATTGAATTATAAAGTTATCGAGATTAGTACCAGTACTCTCTCTCTCTCTCTTTCACTGCCCGAGAATTTTGAGTATCTTGAGTATCTTTAAATTTTAAGTATTATTATTAA